AAAGGAAGTACTCATGGAGAAGCTACTTGGGAACCCATATCTTGCAATCCAAGTAAAAAAGTGTAATTAGAGGGGATAGTAGAGTATTTGTGATAGAATGAAGGGGAGGAGAGGAATACCAGGAGCTAAAGGTTTAAGTGGGGATGAGACAGAGGGGTGGGGGGAAAGGGGGTAGCGGGTAGCTTAACCAAAACTAAACATACATGAAGTCTTTCACAACAAATTAAAAATATAATCTCTTTAGGAAAGGGAATTTGATGCCAGGTATGGTGGCACTCCCCTTTAATCTCAGCACTCAGGAGGCAGTGGTAGGTAGATTTCTGTGAAATGAAGGCCAGCCTGGTCTACATAGTTCCAGGCCAGCTGGGGCTACAGGGAGACCCTATCTCCAAGAAAGAAAATGAAAAAAAAAAAAAAAAAAAAAAAAAAAAAAAAAAAAAAGGAAGAAAGAAAAGGAATTTGAACAGAAGCGCCCCACATTAGTGGACAATGCATTTCCCAGAAGACATGGGTTATTAAAATCTCAGTGCCAGATCCAGGTTACCTCTCTACAGTTATTACAGAGGCCCCAGAGGCACCCAAAGCAATATAAGCTATTGCTCTTGGTTGCCCACCAGAAGTAGATGGTAGGATTCTACTGCTGATGACTCCACACACTTTGGTTTCAGGACAGAGGAATTACTCTTGAACTGACCAGGAAACACTTCCTGCTGGCTAGCTCTCGCAGTGCTGGAAAGTGCTATGCAGGCTGCTGGGCTGAAAAGGTATCAACTGTCTTATCCAGTACTGGATCCTGGATGCTATAATACCAACCTGCCAAGTAAGATTTGCCCACTGGTACAAGCAATAGTGGCAAGAGAGTTTACTAGGGCAACCAAATGCTTTCTTGATTGGATGTGAGTACTGTTCCACAGAAGAGAATTCATGCCTTGTTAACACGGTCAAAACCCATGGCTAGGGAATCAGGTCCTAGGGGACAACCCATTAATGTTGTTTTTCTAAATAGTCATGTTGTCAAACAGCCTTCTAAATACTTATGTTTACATCCATAGACTGCTGCTGCTGCCAGCATTGGTCAGAGAAGCTTCTTGGTGCATTAGCTAGTGGTTAATGCAGAGACACATTACTGCTGAAAGTGCTGAGAATAAGGGACTGTGTCGTGCTCAGCCACCTGTATAGACATCTGTATTGACCTCCACTCCCCCATCAAGGCTCAGGGAACACCACAGAAGAGAAGCTAGAAAAAAATGTAGGAGCAAGGGGATGGGGAGGAGTACTCTGAAATGCTGTCCTCTGGACATGACATGGCTGTTGCACACATGAACTTACAGCAACCTTGGTTACCTACACAAGATCAAGACAGTTAAAAAGCCCAGCATGGAGGCAGGAGGGCTCAAAGGTCCCACCTCTAGCTAAGGAGTTACTGGAAGTGGATGGCTGCTTGGGGAGGAAAGGTCACTTTTCTTCTGGAGTGTAGCCACTGGAAGGCTGTCTATTTCCCACTGGATGACCGCCCCCCCCTGCACCCATGTGATTATCACTAATTGACTCAGTGGGTTAAACAAGTAAGTGGACATGTAGTGGGGAGGGAGATGCAATGGAGGCATCCTGGGGGCAGTGGGGCAGGACTGAAGGGGGAAGCAAGGGGTGGATATGATCAAAATATATTGTATACATGTATAAAACTTTCAGAGAAAAATTTTTATAAAAAAAATATTAAATTCACTCAAAGGTAAAAAAAAAGATAAGATGGAAAATTTAAACCTACATGTAGCCATAATCATGTAAAGTGCATCTAAATTAATAGGCCGTATCAGATTGGGTGATATGGCTCAATGGTAGAGTACCTGCTTAGCTTTCACAAGGACCTGGGTTTGATTCCCCAGTACAACAAAAAAACCAATACTCTCTGCAGAAGCTTCTCAACTTACAATAGGGTTATGTGCCAATAAGTCTATTGTAAGTCATAAGTAAAAGTGCACTGAACGCACTTAACCTACTAAACATACTAGCTCAGTAACACAGTCCACTGAAGAGTGCTGGCTGTTTTCCTTTATGACTGAAAGGGCTGACTGGTCAGTGTGCAGCACAAGAAAGTATCATGCCTACATATTGCTAACCCAGGGGGAAAAAAAAATCAAACTTCAAAATGCTAAGTATGGATTCTACTTAATACCAGGCATGCATTACTTCTTTATCATCATAAAACTGAAAAATTGTAAGCTAACATAACATAAATTATGCCATTATAATTTAAAAGTAAAACAACAGAGGGGCTGGAGAGATGGCTCAATGGTTAAGAGCACTGGCTGCTCTTGTAGAAGACCTGGGTTCAGTTTCTAAAACCCACATGATGGCCAAAAATCATCAACAACTATAACTCCAGTTCCAGGGGATCTGACTCCCTCTTTTGTTCTCTGTGGGCATCACACACATATGGTGCACTTACACACATGCAAGCAAAACACGCATACACATAAAAAAATTTTTAAATTGTTTTTAAAGTAAAAGAACAGGAGGGAAAAAAGGAGAACACTTAGGATGAAGAATAAATAACAAGATCCAAGACGCTGTTCCCTACAGAAAATTCAAATAAGCAACATACGGACCAATTTCATAAAGAAACGACTAAGACAAAACCACACTTAAATGACAGTAAACTCTATGGCATTTTGCCCTCCCCCACAAGCCCACCTCCATGGAACAGTGTGGCACAGTGGCAGAGAAGTGGCTTCTCCGCTAAGATGGAAGAAGAATTTGCTTGCAATATTCTGGCTTGTCAGATTCATGTCCAAGGGACTGGTTTCTGTCTTACCAAACTAAGAGGTGATAGAATCATAACAGAAGCTGCTGGAGGCAATGCAGAGGCTGGTATGTAAGTACTCTGGAAGAATCACGGGTGTCTCAGGGGAAGAGACTGGGGATAGAAGACAATGGAACACTGCTATGGTTTGGATATAGTTTGTCTGCTTCAAAAGTTCATGTGCTGGCAGTGTTGAAGGAATGGAACCATAAAGAAGTTGGGACTTGATGCAAGGTAATGAGATCAGTGGGAACACTGCCATTGGAAGGAATTAATGCTTTTCTTGCAGAGTAAGCTCTCACATGAGCAAGTTGTTATAAAAGTAGCAAGACTAAGTCCTCCCCAATCTTGGGTACTCTCGTCATGTGATATCCTTAACACACACCCCTATCATTGTAAAGTAGCCTGTCAGGAGTCCACCATCTGTTAGGAGCTGAGTAGAAGCTAACATCATATTCTTGGACCTCCAGAACTATGACCTAAATAAACCTTTTTATTAACTATAAAGTTTTTTTGCCCTCCCGTTTTTTTGTCCTTTTGAGACAGAGTCTCTCTGTAGCCCCAGCTGTCCTGGAACTCACTATGGAGACCAGGCTGGCCTTAAACTCACAGAGATCCACCTGCTTCTGCCTCCAGAATGCTGGGATTAAAGGAGTACACCACCATGTCCGGCTCAACTATAAAGTTTTAAATTATTTTTTACTAAATTTATTTATTTATTCATTTATTTATTGGTTCTGTTTTGTTTGGGACAGGGTCGCCCTATAGCCCCAGGTGTCTGGAACTGACTATGTAGACCAGGTTGGCCTTGGTCTTTTTTTAAAAATACAGTTTCTACCAGCTCTCTTTTATTTTATTTTATTATTTTTATTTTATGTGTATAAGTGTATAGCCTACATGTATATGAGTGCACCCATGTCATGCAATGCCATGGGGGTCAGAAGAGGGCGTCGGATTTCCCTAGAACTGGAGTTAAGGACGCTTTGTAGCTGCCATGTGGGTGCTGGGAATCGAACCCGGGTCCTCTGAAAGAGCAGTCAGTGCTCTTAACCGCTGAACCATCTCTCCAGCCCCTCTACCAGCTCTCTTTTAAAAATAAAATTTCTAGGCAGGCAGATCTCTGTGAGTTCAAGGCCAGCCTGGTCTACATAGTGTGTTCCAGGACAGCTGGGGCTACAGGGGACTGTCTCAAAAACACCAAAAAAAAAAAAAATTTTTTATCCTAAACTCAGACATTCTGAATAGCAGCAGCAAATGGACTAATATACTAATATATCTTAATTCGTGAAACGAGAGAGAGTGTAAAGAGGAAAACTTAAAATATTTTAAAACATTTAAAAAATACTCGGATGGGGAGGCAGGTATACACACAGTACGTGGGGCCCCCAGCTAAGATCAGAGCCAATGGCAGCAGGAAATGGCCTCCAGTAACCTACCCTGGCCCCCCACTCAGGAATGAGTTCAAGTACTCCTGGAGAATGACTACAACCTCTTCAATAGAAGGTAAACAGAATCTAGTGATTATGGGTAGGAAAACCTGGTTCTCCATTCCTGAGAAGAATCGACCATTAAAGGATAGAATTAAATTGTTCTCAGTAGAGAACTCAAGGAACCTCCACCAGGAGCTCATTTTCTTGCCCAAAGTCTCGATGATGCTTTAAAACTTATTGAACAACCAGAATTAGCAAATAAAGTAGACATGGTTTGGATAGTAGGAGGCAGTTCTGTTATAAGGAAGCCATGAATCAGCCAGACCATCTTAAACTATTTGTGACAAAGATCATACAGGAATTTGAAAGTGACACTTTTTTTCCAGAAATTGATTTGGACAAATATAAGCTTCTCCCAGAATACCCAGGTGTTCTTTCTGAGGTCCAAGAGGAAAAAGCATCAAGTATAAATTTGAAGTATATAAAAAGAAAGATTAACTTTAAAAAAAAAAAAAAAAAAAAAGAGTTAAAAGAGTTCAAAGTCCCCACCCCCTGTGCCCTCTGCCCTCCCCCACACCAGATGTAATGCTGGACTTTCCCCACCACCTTTACAACAAAAAGGGAGAGGGGACAGAGCAGAGACCCTAGTTGAGAACCCTCCTCAGTTTAAGCGATCATTTGCTTTTCCTCCATAAATTGATAGGCTCTCTATTAATTGGTCCTTATTCTTCACCTCATTTGTACACACACAGCCAATCAGGGCCTACCTGGGCCTGCACAAAATCCTGGGCACAGCATTTTCATTAGTCTGGTTCTCAGGTACATCCCAGCTCTTGGCTAGAGGCTCAGCTCCCACATGCACTTCAGAGGAAGACTAAAGATTTCAAGGTTAGACAAACAGACTGTTCCAAGGAATACTGTTCCTGCTCCAAGAGATATCACTCCTGGCTCAGGGGGCACTGCTCCCACTTCAAGAGATGCTGCTACTGCCCATAGCACCCCCATTATTCCTGGAGTTCACCAGTGACCTTTGCCCCAAAGACTTGTTCTTTGAAGGATTGCTCTCAGTTGAGATCACAAGGTCTGCTAAGAACTCAGAGCTAAACACTTGCTGCCAACCTCTTGGTTCGTATTCCAGGGTTATCAAGGGGTTTAGAGTGATAAGAAATGAGAGGCCTGGGCTGGAGAGACGGCTCAGCTGTTAAGAGCACTGGCTGCTTTTGCAGCGGACCCAGATTCAATCCCCAGCACCCACATAGTGGCTAACAACCATCCAAAACTCCAGGTATGGGGAATGTGACACCCTCTCCTGACCTCCATGTGCAGTGCATGACATGGGTACACTTACATACATGCAGACAATATTCTCATACACATAAAATTAAAAATGAAATATTTTTAAAAACAGTAAGTTCAGTGAAAAGACTCACCAATAGAAAAGATCATGTGTGAGACAGATTATATGGGCCTGAAGGCAAGGTAGAGGAATTAGAGGAATTGGATCATTCAGTCAAAGAAAATGATAAAGTTTAAAATACAAATGGAACAGGAAGGATCTTTGGGATGTCATGAAAGATAAAAGTCTATAAATTATGGGCACAGAAGAATTTCATGCCAAAGGTATAAAAACTACTTTCAGTAAAATCAGAAGAAAATTTCTCAAATCTAGTGAAAGACACTCATCCTGGTACATGAGGTATAAAGAATATCAAATTGACAGGACCAGAAAAGAAACTCTCCATGTCATAGTATAGTTAAAACAATAAATATACAGAACAAAGAAAAGATAACGAAAGCTGCAGTAGAGACTGGCCAAATCATATATAAAGGCAGGCACAATGGAGTAACACCTGACTTTTCTTTAAGATTTGTTTTTTTATTTGCATGTGTGTATGTGGTGTATGTGTGCATATATGTATGTGAGGATGTCCAGAGAAGCCAGAAGAAGGCATAGGATGCCCTGGAGCTGGAGTTACAGGAAGTTGTAAGCCACCCAACATGGGAACCAAACCCAGGTCCTCTGCAAAACTAGCAAGTGGCTCTTAACTGCCAAACCATCTCTCTAGCCAACAGCTTACTTTTCAATGGAAACTGTAAAAGCCAGCAAGGTTTGGAGAAATGTACTTCAAATCCTAAAAGATTGTGGGTGGCAACCCAGACTTCTCTACCTGGCAAAACTATCTGTCATAATTGAACAAGAAAGAAAAACTTTCCATGATAAAAGCAAGCTGAAGGAATGCATGCCCACCAAGCGAGCCAAACAGCAAATACTGGAAGGAATGCTTCAAACCGAAGAGAAGGATAAACATAATCAAAAGACCAGAGGGAAAACTTAGTGATGCTAGGACAGTTGTGAGGCAAAGGACTAAGAAAATACATACCATAAAAATCAAATAAATGACAGGAATTAACATATATCTTTCAAAAATGATTTTGAATATTAACAATTTCTCTTTCCCACTCACACAGGCAAGCAACTTAGATTAGAAAACAAGAAAAACACATCACCATCAATGATAGAAACAGCAAACAGAACCAGGAAGAAAGTAGGCATCACTATTCTAATATCTGACAAAACAGATTCATAACTCATCAAACTAGCCAGAATAAGGGACTGCTAAGGGATCAGCCTCAAATGGGACATGTTTATCAACCATTCTGAAGCCCAGAGAACATCGTAGAAGTGGAAAGACAGTAAGAGCCAGAGAATGGGGACGAGTACTATAAAATACTGCCTTCTAGGCAGGACATGGCTGTTGCAAACATGAACACACAGCAGCTAGCACCACCAACACAAGACCTGTAAGACAAGAAAGTAGGAAGAAGACTAGTTAGGAAGAAGAAGGGGAATAGATGGAGTGTAAGGCAGATGGCAGAAGATAATGTGGAGGGGACAGGATGACAATACATTGTACACAACCAGGAAACAGTTGGAAAGTTTTTAAAACTAAGAAATTTTAAAAGGATTCTAAGTATGAGACTACTATGGCCAACAGTACACCAACAAATTTGATAGCCTCAATGAAATGAAAACTCACCAAAACTGAATCACAAAAAATAAAGTGTCAGCAGAGCTCTAGCAAATAAACTGAGTCAATAATCAAAGTAAAGCTTAGACTAGATGTAACAAACATTTAAAGAACTTAATTGATAGAATGTGTAAATTACAGGAGAGCTATAAGCTTCCTTAAAGGAAGCCAGCCTTACGTAAGGACATAAATTTCTCAAGGTGGCCAAGTGACCCAAATTGGAGGCGTGGCCTTTGTTCAAGTCTTATCAAGTGGTCACTTCCCAGGCTGACAGAGACTGTTTACCAGCTGACTTACCTCCTTTGGTGCCATAAGGTAATCTGCCTGCTCATACTGAGAAAATAACCTCAGGAAGAAGACCCGCCATTACCCCAAGGACACATTCAGCAGAGTTCCTATATAAGACCAGACTGCTCTGCCTTTCTTTGATGATGCCTGGTTTCCTCGAACAGCAGAAGCCCTTTGCAGTGTTCTCCTGAATAAGGGAACATATTCCTTGCCTGTTGCAGGTCTGGCTCTGGTTCTTATTTTTCAGCTTTAAACTCCTTCCTTTTTCTGCTCTCCTAAATCTAACACATATCACCTTTAAATATTCTTCGCCAAACCCCAAAAAGACAAAAAGAGTATCTAATTGATTCCATGTAGCCAGTATAACTCTGGCATCAAAGTCAGACAAAAACATTCTAAGAAAAATGATAAATCAATATCTCTTGTGAACACTAGTGCAAAAATCCCTAAAAAAATAGTAGCAAACAGAATTCAACAACACATTTAATGAATTATATACTCTAACCAAGTGGAATTTACTCCTACATTTGCAAGGATGGCTACCACAAAGTCCACACAGCTAAGCACCTTAACCCCTGACTCCTGTCTCCCTTCAGTAAATCCTGAGCCAACATCCTTGAGGTTGACAGAAACCTGGACCAGACTGGAAGCCCAAATCAACCACAGAGTTTCAACAATACAAAAATAGTTCCTAAGAACCAATAAGGAAAACAAATGACATAAGGTAGTCCAACAAAGTAGTTTAAAGCAAAGAAAGCACAGACTACAAGTGGCTCTTAACCATGAAATGTTGCTCCCCTAATACCACTTTCTAGGGCTGCTAAGACAGCACTGCTAATCTGAAGTCCACCCTCCATCGATAGTTCCACACTCCCAGTTATCTCAACAACCAGTTCCACTAGGACAGACTCTCACCACAAAGAAACTCAACAAGAGGGTAGATTTACTTTTCCCCCTATCTCCAAGGCCATTCTAGTGGGAGCCTGGAAGAAAGTAGTGCTGAGAACAATGTAATTCCAGAGGAAAATAAGGACTTAAGCAGCAACTGGGATATATTGACAAAGAGTCTGGCTGGAGTCTACCTAAAGCCAAAAAGCTTGCCTGAGGCTAAACTGAAAAGCAATGGACTAATTTCTTTGGCAGAGGAGGCAACCTAACATGGAAATGGTAGTGTGGCTATTAATGGTGAATATTATGCAGATCTATAGTGAAAAAGAGCAAATGGGGCAGAAAGAAATGCAGAATGTACCCTTTGGATTGAAAAAGAGCACTAGGAAGATTAATGCTGGATGTCCCTTAGATAAGGAAAGTAAAGAGATTAAGGAGAGGCCTAGAGATTTGCAATTAAACAATGGAGAGAGTGCCTCCAGGGCAAGAACACACCCAGTTAAGCCTCCAACTCTTCAAAGGAAAATGCTGGGGTGTTCTACTCCTAGACAACCACAGCAGAGAAAAGCCTCAGAAAGAGGAAGCAGGCCAGGCTCCATCCCAAACTTGCAGGCAAATTTGGCAGTGTTGTTCACCTGGTACTGGCTTTAGAGGCATGAAAGATACAAGAGTGAAGGGGGTCATCAGTTCTTCCTCCACAGTTTCAGAATGTCACCAAGGCCAGGCAGCATCCAGCAGGGGTATCTCTGCATAAAGAAGGCCCTAATGGGCCATTGTGTGAAGCTATGAAGGTGAAGCCTAGTTAGCAGTGGAGACCCCAAGAAGACACTCATGATGCCAGAGTTGTAAGACATCTGCCAAGGAGAGCTGCATACAGGGAGTGGTACCAGCCCAAGAAAGAGATGTATGTTTCACACAACAAAGTTGGAGAGGCTGAGCCGTCTAAGCTAGAAGCAGTCTAAGTTGGAAGGGGTACCACTGGATTTGGTGTTTGCCCTGCTGGTTTTTGGTCTTGTTTTGGTACAGTATTTCCTCATTATGCCTCTATTCCTCCCTTTAGAATGTGTATTTGGTTCCACTGTATGCTAGAAGTTTATAATTTGTCTTTTGATTTTACAGGGGCTTACAGTTAAGAGATTGCCCTGAGTCTCAGAAGAGATTTTGGACTGTGGACTTTTGAATAGTATTGACACTGGTAAGACTATGGGGACTTTTAAGGTTGGACTAAATATACTTTGCATTTTATATGGTCATGAGCCTATGGAGGCCAGGGAATGGAATGTGATGGTTTCAGTGAGAATGTCCCCCATAGGTTCCAAGTAGTTTGTGGCACTGTTTTGGGAGATCTTAGAAAGTGTGGCCAAGCTAGAGGAAGCATGTTATTGGGGGCAGGCTTAGAGAGTTCTTAAGCCTTGCCGGATCTCCAGTCACTCTCTGCTTCCTGTGCCTGCTTAAAGATGTGAGCACTTAAGTTTCTGCTCCAGCCACCACTGCTGCCATGCCTCCCCACCATGATGGACTCTTGCCCCTTTGGTACCGTAAGCTAAATAAACGCTTCCTTTTATAGTAAGTTCCCTTGGTCATGGTGTTTCTATCACAGCAACACAAAAGTGACTAATACAGATGGTAAAAATGTAAAAGAAAAAATGAATTCAGAACAGGGCTGAAGTCAGGAAAGAATGATGGCTAATGTCCTCATCCAATACAAGAGGCCTTACAGATCTTTTCTCCTATGTATTCTTTTAACAGAGACAAATGAGCTGTTTGCCTTCCCAACCTTCCTAGGCCCAAGTAATTTGCTGGATGCCTACAAGGCAAGGGGTAACTTCTAAAAGAGATTTGCTTTCCCTGATAAATAGAAGACATGTTGTGGTACCAGCTTCCTGTTTTTCTTCCTTGAATTTGGACATAAAAGCACCTGGGGACCATCAAGGAAAGGTTAGGAGAATCAAAGATACCAGTTACTACCTGCCTCCAGGTGACTTGTTTTGGAGAGAAAAAGTCTGTCAGGCACCAGGAATTTGTATTCATATCAATGCACTTGCAATGGTACAGAGGACTGTGGGCAGACCAGTAAATTTTTGTTTGTTTTGACTTCTTGATTTTTATTTGAGGTATATGAGTGTTTCATGCATGCTATGTCTGAGGAGACCAGAAGAGGGTGTTAGGTCCCTGGAACTAGAGTTACGAACAGTTGAACCCAGGTCCCTTTGCAAGAGCAGCCAGTGTTCTTAACTGCTGAGCTATTTCTCCAGCCCCATGACCAGTGATTTTTAGGCAGTTTATAAAAGGTAGAAAGTGAAATGACAATGAGGGGTGAATCTGGAGGGGAGCACATGTTCTTCTGAGCAAAGCTTTAATGAGGTGTCCTACAGTAAACAGCAAGAATAAGCAGCAGCTTCAGCTAGACTTGAGAGCCAAGGGGAACCAAAGCCAGGGCTGAATCCCAAGTGTATGTGGGAAGGCAGGGAGCAGGAGGACAGGGAAGTTGGGGGGAGACATGCTCTACAAAAAGGTAAACTGGAAGCAAACTTGCCCCTGTGCTAACTAGCACCCAGCTTGACCACTTAAAATGCCCAGAAAACCTTGGCCCTCAATTGACTGTGTACTCTGTGGGCACCTGGGTAAGTTGCCAAGAGCAAGTGAAATCACTCTATGGAAGAAGAAATCACTTTAGGCCTCTAGCTTTTCAAGTACCATATCCAACAGAGAGTCAAAAGAACCAAAACCACAAGGAGATAAGAACACATGAATGAGAAACAGCAAGAACATTAACAGGCAATAGAAATGTCCACTAGGGTTCCTAATACTAATATGTGAACTAAAATAACTAGGCTTATTATGTTCAAGTAAGTAAAAGACTAAGCTAAAAATTCATCAAGGGCTGCGTATGGTGGCACATGCCTTTAATCCCAGCAGGGCAGAGGCAGAGGCAGAGGGATCTCTCTGAGATCCAGGCCAGCCTGGTCTACATAGAAGTTCTAGGCCAGCTGGGGCTATAGGGAGGGAGAGAGGGAGGAAGGAAAAAAGAAAGCTGTCAGGTAATATAGCAAATGGAAGGGAACTAAGGAAGATCACTGGCCCCCATTTCCAGACAGAGCTTGCCCACCCAAGCAGCAAACCAACTATCAACCAACCAACCAAACAACCAACCAACCAACCAACCAACCAACCAACCAACTGAAAATGCAAGTAAATCATCAACAAGGATCCCAAAAGTATGTACAAACACATGGAAATCATATATACACCAGATCTTCTACCAACCATACTGAATGCTAAAAGTCTGTGGAAGAATATTATCCATAGGGACCTAAGGGCAAAGTAGAGAGCAACACCTCCAAAGCTTTGTGAGGACTGACATTTCAACTTTTCCCATATCAATTCCTTTTACCTTCTGGTTGTTATTTTGCACAACTGCCCTTTAACACTCTAAGTTCCCCCACCTCAGAGTCTCTGCACCTGCTATTCCCTCTGCCTGGACATTCTTACCTCAAACATGTGCATAGCTTTGTCCCTCCCCTGTTCTGGTTTCTTCTGCTTATTATGTCAGGTCTTTTCGATCACTCTGCAATAAAAGCCCACCAATGCTCTGTATTCACATATCCTCTTTATCTTTTTCTCTCTACAGCACCCAATACCACCCAAGACATTATGATTAGTATGCCCTTCTCTACAAGAAAGAACTAGGTCAGCTTTGTACACTGAGGTTGCAGCATACTTAGAATGCGCCTGGCCAGAGCAGGTGCTAAATGTCTGGATAAGGCTGTGAACTAATTCTTGGATCCACAGTTCCTTCTAATCTTTGCCAATTGCTTCCTTTCCTAACTCATTCAATGGTATTTGTATCCATCTCTGTTAGGCTAAAAACTATGAAGGTGAAAAGTTCATTATTCCTTTTTCTCCCACCTACCAAGTCTTGTTGGTTCTGCTCCAAAATACATATTGGATCTGCCTCTTTGCCCCTCTCCATGGCCACCACACTGACTGAACTCACTATCTAATCCTGGGACTGCTCCAAGAACATTCCAGCTTCTCAAGAGACCCTTAAGGTCTACTTCCTGCACGTGTCTACCCATCATCCCACACTACCCTCTCCTATGCTTCCTGTGTACCAAAGAAACTTCATGTGTGTACCAAGCCCTCTCTGCTGTCTTTGTTGTCTCCACCAGAATGCTTGACTCAGGTCTATAGAGCTGCTTCCCTTCACCTTTTAGTTGCATCTGAAATATCCCCCTCTGCATTCTTACCACTCCTTCCTGAACTCTCCTTTGGGCCAATCCAGTCTCAGAGCAGCTTAAATAAGCTGCCTATGTGTGCCCCTTACAAGAGATGGTAAGGCCCACAAAAGCAGGAAATGATCCTTCATTCTTACTACTATGCCAAGAATGCTGTGCAGGGTGCTTCCCTCAGCACAGGTGTAACTAGAGTGTCCTAGGTGCCTACTAAACTCCTGCCCAGGTATACAGTGCCAGTATGCCAGTATTCCACTGACACTGGGACCCAGGCAGGGAGCTGGAAGTCTCATGGGAAGACATTTCTAAGTGTTCTATATTCTTCTGAAAGTCTACCTTCATGAAATGTGACAGAATTCTCACAGAAAGAATGCAAGAAAGCACCTACCACTACTGTTGACTCCCACTGGCTTCCAGTGGAGCAGTGAACTGGACCTAGTAAGTCCTTGCATATTTCTCGGAGTCGGTATTCAAATCCTAATTAAAGGAAAACAAAACAGAAACAGGAACATATTATAAAAAAGAAATAAAAATCACAAATATGCTCAGTTGTGCAAATCCAAACAGAATGAGTAGATATTTTATTGCCTACTATGGGCAAAACATGTAGCTTGGGGGCCAGAGACCCCATGTTTAGGGGCCAGAGACCCATGACCAGTTTCTCACTCATTCACCAGTACCCCATAACAATGTAGGCAGCACCTTCTCTGTGCACTGGACCCACAGAAGCAAGACAGAAGTTCTATGATGAAAAGTAGTAAGAAATCATGGAAACTGGCAGGAGGGATGTGGGTTGGCAGGACCTGTTTGAGAGAAGAGTCCTTGGCAGCTGCATGACAGGAGGTAGGGAGGCAACTTCAGGAGGGAGGAAGTAGATTGGAATGCTGACTACAGAATGACAACTGAATGGTGCCATTAAGGGTCCAGGGCAGTGTGGGCAGTGCTACCAAAAAGGCTAGAGTCTTAAACAGAGCTTGGGTAGCTGAAGCCATAGTGAATGGATAGAATGAAAGGATAGAAAACAGGAAGGATGAAGCGAGAATGAGGAATTTGAGAAGTGAATGGTGTCACATTTTAACACATAACTCCTTCTGTCCCAGCTGAGAAAATAAGGGAAAGAGATGGGGTAGTAGTGTTTGGTCCAGAGAAAAATGAACAGACACATGGACAGTGGAGAAATAATCTCAAGCTGTGAGCAGTAGAGACCAGAGGAGGCAGCACCTCTTGTAGCATCAGCGTAAATCCTGCTTAACACCCAGGAAGAGGCAAATCATTCTGGGGAAATAGGACACATGGCTCATGTAATAGGAAAAGGGAGGACAACATATTTAGAAAGGCCAGTGACCACACATACTAAGCACAGAAGGAATGAGAGAGCAATTAAATTTATCATTGAGTGAGGGAGGGAAGCAGGATCAATAATGATGTTTATTATCATCACAAGAGTATATAAACAAATATCAGCCTCAGATTCAGTCAGTGACAAACACAGCAGATTAGCTCTGGCTAAAGTTACTCTGTAGACATTTGGTACATTTTTCTATCTTTTATGTACTTAGTTTTTTGTTTTTTTTTCTTTAAATCATACTCAAAATGGGAAAGGTGAAGGTCATGAGAAGGACAAAGCAAAAGGGAAAGGTTGTGAAAGAAGTTCTGGAAACAGGATGGGGGTTGTGTGGGTCACAGAAGACCTTTGGAGGGCCAGTCCTTATGCCACAGACACTGGAAGCCAGACTCACGTGGGAGGAAAAGCTGATAAAATAGGACAGGGGTTTGTCCAGAAAGGGATGAGAGGTAGTTTTAGGTTACTGCACTGTCCTCCTCCAGCACACCTTGCTCTCTGTAGGGGATACTGCTGAGGGCACAGGCACTTGAGAAGCCCTGATGGGAAGGGTATACAGGGAGGCACTGGAGAGCAGGCAGGATCTTCTAGTTAAGGGGCTCTGAGAAGGGAGAGAAACAGTGTCATCAAATGCCCTTCTTTGGGGTGACCTTACCTTCATTTACAAGGTACCGAGCATAGAGGAGGAGCCAGTGGCGGTATTCGTGGCTTGATTGCAGGATAAGTGCTGCTGCAACCTGGTTCTCTAGGTAGGCCAGTGTGGTCTCCTGCTGTACCACATGAGGCACAGAGAAGAGCCGGGCAGCTTGCCTTCCAGAGCTGCAGAGACCAGCAGAGCAGGTATAATAAAACAGGGGTATTAACATGAGTGCTGAAGCTGCTCCCATGTGCTCTGGGGTACCAAAGAAGAGCTGCAAGAGTGGAAAGCACCTAAACTGACCAAGGTCTCCCATCCATCAGTTACTCTATTGGCAGGTGCCAGATTCCTGTCAAACTGCCCATCCCTCATGTCACTTGGGCAGCACGGTATTCCAGAGGTGTCTTACCTAGTATCTGCTGTCTAGATCCCCGAGATAACAGGCAAGTGGCCTAATCATCCCACCCAAAACACTGTGCCACATGGGTATTTATGACTCATAGCACCCTCAGACTACCACCTGGGCCTTTGAAGTGATGGGGCCAGGAATCTAGCCATCCCTAAGACATTACTTGACATGAGTCAAAACTCACACAACCCATCTGTGCTGAGCAGCAGCTGGATCACAGGGAAACAATCAGAGACAAGATCTGGTTCCCTCCCATGGCAGTACTGCTGGCAGTGGCCAGGACATTTAGCTCACATACTTGGAGGTGCGGCCCTGGATTATGGCTAATGGTCCTGAGCACAGCATGGCGTCCTGGGATGGCAGGCTGTTCCTAAAGTCTGCACACTGAGCCAATGAATCCTGTTTGTCAGAAACCAAGTTCCTGTAAAGGCAAAGAAAGGAGCGAAGGTCAGGAAGAGTAGAGGAACAAGCCCTGTCCACCATGTGGCAGCAAACCAGTGGAAACTGAGAATCATGTCCTCCTGCATGGGTACCCACTGCTGGCAGGCTTCCTAGTCAAGAGTCTGATAAGTGATTATTTCCAAGGCAAGGTTGATAAAAGGACTCTCACTGAACACTTTAGCTATACAGTCTTGGTTCTTGATATCTGAGGGATCCCTGTGTATTCTAGATGCCTGGCTCACACACTGATGTGGCTGTCCAGGACTCTCTATGGCCTTCCTCATTTCCATGTTTCAAACATTCCTGATAAGCAGTTCTCCCACCTTCTCAGAGCCCTTCACATAACTGTTCAGAAAATATTCTCCATAAAACAGTTGGTTGCCATTATGAACATGTCCAAAATAAAGAGTTGATATGTCTTTTCCTTTTTGTGAGACAGGATCTCTGAAAACCAGAACTGAAAAGCTCAGCCCCTTGAATGAATGCTGCACTGCAAACATGCACCACCATCCCTGGTCTTTTCTAAATAATCAGCTTCTTTGCAGTAATCACAAATACAAATATTTACAAATTGAGAAAGAAGGAAGCGGAGGGTTTTTTTTTTTAACTGAAAAATTAAATCTCAATGTTGAATATGAAGTTGTGCTTGAGAACTCCTACAAAAAAAAGAGCCTTAGAAGGCAGCACACTTTAGTTCTGAAAGACTGAAGGTATAAGCAGAAAAAAATAATTTCTTAGAGTGGCTGGCATACAGTTTATCTACTGCATATGTCTGGGTTAGGAAAGATGGCTCAGTGGATTAAGTACTTACAACACAAGCTTGAGTCTGGAGTTCAGATATCCAGCACCACATAAAAGCCAAGAGGGTATGGCAACCTGCCTATAATCCCAGCAGTCAGGAGGCTGAGACAGGGGGTCCCCAGGAGAAAACTAGCTAGCTAGACTAGCCAAATCAGCAAGCTCCAGGCTCAATGAGAAACCCTGTCACAGTAAATAAGCTAAAGAACTATTGAGAAAGACACCAGACGTCAATCTCTGGTACTCCACATGCACATGTATGCACACACACCTCACATACACATATTCTTTAAAGTCTCTTATATTTATGGAGATTTTACAAATTCCACACTGGTCAGAAGAAATATACAAATTGTACCATTGGCATGATTTCCTGAGTAAGTCTGAAAGGCTACTTTGAACCAGTTAAGCTCACAAAACTGACTAGTACTACAAGGATACTATGGAGCTGATACTTTCATATTGTTGATGGTTAAGGATGCCAGTCTGGAAATGCCTGTCAGGTGCCACAAAAAAAGATTTTCAGTATCTAATCTAATAAAATTGCCCCCCTCAATAACACAGAAGGGTAGTACCCCCACCCACAGACTCTAAGGGCAGCGAAGTCAGGCGTCCACAGCATCATACAGGGATGGTAGCACATACACAGGTGAGAGTACAGAAGAAGCAAGGCAAAGCAGGACTGACCAGGGTCTGGACCCTGTGATATGCTATTCAGCACAGACAGAAACTCCCAGGGAACAGGACAGGAGTAGCTTCTTACCATGTAGAGAGTGACGGATTAAAACAATATGCTTTCCCATCAGACAAGTTCATCACTGGGATTCCATGCTGTGTTAGCAAGATCTGTGACACTGTCATATCACTTCCTAGGGGATATAATAGGAATAAGTTCTGCTGTGCTTTGATCAACAAGTGTAAATGTATATCCACTAATGAGCAAATCTGAACTCTGGTTCCCACAATTATAACACTACAACCCTAACTGCTGATGAGGCATCTATAGACTGCTGCTTGGTGCTTTAGGTGAGTAATTCTGACACCCACCAGGATCTTTGTCATATCTTAGGGACCCATTTAGTCTTCTGGCCAGAAATCATGTCTCTTTGCTATATAAGTACATCCCTGCTTCACCAGCAGCCTCAGGCTTGAGCTGTGAGTTTGACTCTCTAGACTAAGGGCCTATCTGAATCAAACCTGAGACTCTGCCCCCAGAGGAAGAGGAGTACCCACCACAGGGGTTACCTGCCAAGATGGAGTGTAGAGACTCTTCTTTCACCACAACCACCTGCCTGTGAACATCCCTAAAGAGATAGGGAACAGCTTACTCTACACCCAAGGCAAAGGCATCAGAATGCCTTGACTACTCAATACCCTGTCTCTACATACACTCCCAGCTCTCTAAATCTACAGAAATCCCAGGCAGCAGAGCCACTAGACCACCTCCATTACCCACACCCATACAGAATCCAGGAGAAGGAGGAGTGTAGCCACCCTATGCCAGAAGATACCCCATTAATGGTAAACACTGCTAACTACTCAGGGCCTCTTCTTGGGCCCAGTGATCACTTCTTTGTTATGTTTCCCACCCCTACCCCTATCCTTGAAGTGAGGAAGGACCTGCATTACTAGGACACCCCAGCCTATGCCTGCCTCTCACCAGACAGACAGTGTGGCCGCAGCGGTGAGTGCCATGACGTAGGGGCCCGTGCAGTGCAAAGTAGAGATTGGAGATGGAAGGAGGATGGGAGGGAGGAGACGGCGACCACAGGTGGAGAACACCGACAGCATCCTCTTTTCACAGGCAACACATACCACGTCACTGCAAGGGAAGAGGAAGGGCAGGTGTCACAAAAGCCAGGTGGATGATGCAGAGCCTTCCTCTACCTAGTAGGTCCTAGTGGGCTAAGTATACTTATACTGAGCAGGTGCAGCTGTTGGACTGGAGAGGAAAGGCCTATGTAAGGACCAAGGTAGGGAGGGACAAGAGGGCACACAGTTTGCCTGAACTCTTACATCAAAGAGATTTTTGTCTTCCTCTGTCCTGCCCAAAGGGCTTCTCACAATGATACTGACCAAGGGGTGCAGATACTTCAGAAAGCCACTGCACCTGATGGTCATCCAAGAAATGTGCCTCACTCAGCAGATAAGAGCAGAGTGCCCAGGTGAAAGTCACTTGGTTATAACTGGTCAGGTGAGCCCAGATGAAGGCTCAGGATAAGGTGGGAGATGTGCAGGGACACTAGTATCAGCTGTTATGAGGACACCAACTGTGTACTCAGAGCTGTCAGGGCTGGGATGGGGGAGGTGTGTTACTCCAGGAGCAAGGAATGCTTCAAAAGAACACCTTCTTGAGACCTGGTGTTCAGAAAGGCCCATTACAGAGGTCATTGCCTTCCAAGTATGGCCTCCTAGGCCAGGCCACTGATGCAGGAGTGGCTAAGGCTCATACCCTAGTAGGACATATGGAGCCCCCTTCATGATATCTGTTCCACTGATCCAAGGCACATGGTCTGTAAGGGCAATTTATCCCTGCTTAACAGTACTCCCAACTCTTTCCCAATGAGACATTACTGGCTTCTAAGAAGGGAAAGGAAAGTGAGACACTTTTGTTCACAAATGTCTATTTTCAAAGTATGAATCAGAAAACTTTGAGCAGGACCTGGCAGCAGGGAGGGAGCTCTCTTTGATGCTGTAACAGTGTTCTGTCTGCTCAACTTTCATGGTCAGGGCCTTCCTTGAGCCAGCTCCATGCAAAGGAAGCTGTCACCTGGGCCGCAGCACTGGGCAGGGAGCAGGTCTGTAGGTTGGGCCTGGATGTGTGAGACTGTACAGGAGAGGCCCCGGTTCCAACAGATGTGTCGCTACAGCAGCGTGTGCTGATATCCTTGGACCCCCGCTGGGACATGCCACCTGCCTTGGGACCAGAGACATTCAGTAGGTACCCACAGCAGCACCAAACACACAGGAAGTTAGGACTGAGAAACCAGTAAGTTTGTGCCAAGGGAGAATTCCAGGAAGGAACACAACTGTGGGATCTTTCAGTGCCTAATGCCACAGACTCACTTGGATTCATGGGAATCCTAAGACCCAAAGCTAGGTGTGAGACACTCACATATTACCTCAAGAGAGACAACTACAGATCAAACTGAAATGACTTTCTGAGTGATCACTGCTGTAAAGCTCTAGTAAGAGCATCTGCTACACGTTCCTGACTAGGCTCTATGCCTGAAAGGTGCGTGAGAAAAATGCTGATCATCTTTCCGGAGTATGACAGGAAAGACGGAACTCCTATGTAGTATGCAGAAGAAACTGGATGATTTGTGCTGGATTAAGATCTCTTCCCCAAATGCAAAATCTGGAGAGGCAGGACTAGGCACAGTCAGTTCAATCCATTCTGACTACCTTGGATGAAAAGCTGGGGTCTAGGGAAAAGTACCTACCCAGGTCAGGGAGAGGCAGGCCTTCCTCAGTTAGGAAGCTTGCCAGACAAGGTAATAAACCCCAGGTTTAAAGTCTGGCTTGGGATACTATGAAGTAAGAACACTGACACTGACTTTTTGGATATTAGAAGGACGGAGGTGGCAAATTTACATGCTTGGCCTGGAAGGTGGCCCACTGGGAGCCTCTATTGGAGCCATCCTCTTCTCACAAACCATATTCCACAATGGTGGCAACCCCATCCAGCACAGCACATGGTGCCCAGTCTACATGGCAGGCCAGCCCCTGCCCACCCTTACCAGCTGCCAGCGGCAGTGAGGACACGGCTGGTGAGTACCGTCTCCCACTCCTTCCCTTCCCGGTTGCACTTCAGGCGGCTCAGCCTTATCCCCCCAACAGCCGTCACTTCATTTTCCACCTCGATGTACATGGAGGGGTCAGAGCTCACCTGAATGGAAGAAAGCAAACATGTCTTTTCAGGTCACAGTGGGCCTATTCAGATCCTTGAACATATGAGACACTCGGGGACTCTAACCTGGGTGCTGAAGCAAGGCAAAGACACAGAGAAGCAGGCTAACTGGCTGGCCACCATGACTATGGGCAAGAGGGGCAGGGCAGGCCATCATGTCATCTCACAGGACAGTAGCTTGCCCAAGAACACACTATAAGGACTACGGCCAGACAGAATGGACTTTGGAGAAAGCCTCCTACTTAAAGAATCACCAAAGATTGCAGTATCTGTTAAGAAGAGAGCTATGGTGGGCAGGGAGGAAAGTCTAGAAAATCCCAAGGTGCTCCCTGCATTAGCATACATCCTCACATTATACAGCATAGCATGTATTATCAGGGCCTGCTTTCAGTAGCTGGCATGAAATGGACTCAGCCTTAGACATATGTGGACAGCTGACCAGCACAAATTCTGTATGCAAACCCAGGCATAACAGCTGACTTGTCTGCATGAGTGACCATTCAAGTGGGTGATTTGGAACAGAGAGCTGTAGTCAGAAGTCACATTCTCTTTACTGACAATAGAAACCAAGGATGGCTCCATGGGGCACTGAGAAATGAAGACACCTGGAGAAAGGTAGGAGAACTAGCAGAACTGGGGAGTTTTGAGCTGCTAACCACTGGAAGGACCCACTTCCTTTTTTATATAATTTTTTTAATGAGTGTGAGTGTTTGGCTTGCATGTATGTAAGGGAACCATGTGTGTGCAATGCCTGAGGAGGTCAGAAGAGGGTATCAGATCTCCTGGAACTGGAGTCACTGGCAGTTGTTAGCTGCCATGTGGGTGCTGGGAACTGAACCCAGGTCCTCAGCAAGAGCAGCCAGTGCTGTGAACCACTGAGCCATCTCTCCATCCCCAGAAGTACCCATTCCTGCTCACACCTTCAGAACAAACCACATGGGAACTCTCCTTCCATGCTATCAGCTCTATTCCTCTGTAGCATGGTTCACAAGGACCTATGGCTAGGAAGGATGGCGGCTACTCTCCAGTGCCTAAGACTAGCCTAGGCCTGGCACACTGCGGCCAGAGTCCAAGAAGTTGCCAAAGGAAATGCACCTGGCCAGGTATAGAGGGTAGGTATACAAAGAGGTAACAGAGTACAGAGCCACTACATGGACACAGGTGTTAACTCAAGTGGCCAGGGAGCAACTGGGTATAAGGGATTATTTAGTCTAATACTGTATTTGAATAAGTTCATGGTTATAACCTTATACCTTAGAAACCAGGTACCCAGACAAACTACAAATATATAGTGCCATAGGCACCAAGCCAGAAGCTAGCAAAGTTAAGTATAGAGATACAGGAGGCTTCTCAGAAGAAGAGACACATAAGTCAAGTCTTGAAGGAGCTAATAATGTCCAGATTTGATGGTAAAAGCAGCCCTGGCAGTTGAGATTTAAAGGCAAAAGTACATGGAGGAAGAGGCATGAGGGATGGGACAGAAGGCTAGCAGCATTCCACCCTGATAGCCAGCATTCCTCCAGAAGAGGATAGGGAGCCACTGGAAACCAGTCCCCAAGGTGAAACAAGGCAGAGCTTATATAAGGGGCAAGGAGAAAGAATATGTGTGCTTGTGTGGGAGTAGGTAGAGGGTCCCGCTCCTCACCTGGAGGGTGAATGCTCTCTGGGGGCCTGGAATCGGCAGCTTCAATGCAAGTGCTGGTGCAGACAGACACATGGCCTCCTTCTCTGCAGACAGGGCAGCTGGAGACTAGAAGAGCCAGAAACATCCCTGAGCCCTACCTCCACACTCCCTGCTCCACAGGGGCAGCATTAGGGAAAGAAAGCCACCCAGAGGTAAGGACATACACAAGGTGAGGCTAGGCCTGCTCCCAAGGCATGTCCACCTACTCTGGAAGGGAAAAAGCACAAGGGAATGCTACAGGGATCCCCACCTGACAGATGAGGGGCTGACATCAGGGGACCAGCTGTGGTGTAGCTATTTCCTCTGAGTACCATCCCGCCATCATGGAGCAGAGACTGCTGTGGTGACCTACAGAATATGTTGGCCCCACAGTCATGGCAATGAAATAAGAAAAACAATACAGTGACAGTTGGATCTACAGTACCAGTAATGGAGCTGTTAACATTCTCTCACTGAAGTTGGGGGCAGGAGAGCAGTCACTGGACCCTCGCCTGACATTCTAAACATCATTCACTCCCACCACCCAACTACACATGGTCTTGGGAAATAGGTCAGAGTATACAGGAGGTAGAAGGTTCACTGAGGGTGGGATACAGCTTGTATGAGTTGCAGTAGGACTTTTCGGTAATGCTGTTACTTCTGAGTCACCTATACTCCTTACTCATGCTCTTCTAAGTAACCGTGGGCTGGATTTGGATGGAATCATTTCTTTCATCTGTTGGTACCCAATCTAGAGTGAATAAACATTTCTTTTTGTCTCCCAGGAAAAGTTGTATAACAAGTCTGTTCACAATCTCTAGATTGGTGGCAGGCAGGTTGGAAGGAGCACAGTCTACATGATACATTGCATAATGTGCTTCTAAGCCAATAAGTTGGAGTTTTTTTGTTTGTTTGTTTTTGAGAGAGGGTCTCCCTGTAGCCCCAGCTGGCCTGGAATTCACTATGTAGACCAGGCTGGCCTTGAACTCACAGAGATCCACCCGTCTCTGCCTCCTGAGAGCAGGGATTAAAGGCGTGCAACACAACTCCCAGCACCAAAAAGTTCTTATGTATCCCACACTAACAATCCAGTCCTCAGCATGCAAGGGTCTCCCAGCAGAGTGGGGCAGGCAAAACAACCCACAGGTCTTACCTGGACAGACAGAGACATGGGTAAGAGACGAGAGTCTTTCCGGGGGCGACCTTTCTTCTTCTTTTCCACTGTCTCCACCTCAAGCTCAAGTTTCCGCTTGGACAGTGAAGAAGGCTTGGCCAAATGGACCTTCTCATCACTGTCACTGCTACTCTCCAGGAGGTCCCGGGGCCGCAGCTCTTTCACGAGGTTCTGCTCTTTCAACCTAAAAACAAAGAAATCTGTAATTCTGTCTACAAAACCGCTCATTTTACAATTCTTTAAAAATATTTTATTATTTTTTTAATGTGTATGAGTGTGTTGCCTACATGTATGTGAGTCACCCATGTTGTGCAACACCAATGGAGATCAGAAGAGGGTGTAGGACCCTGTGAAACTGGAATTAGGATGATTGTTAGCCACCATGTGGGTGCTAGGAATCAAGGCTGGGTCCTCTGCTAGAGCAGCAGTGCTCTTAACCACTAAACCATCTCTCCAGTCCCCTCATTTACAATTTTTTAAAAGTCCACTTTTCACAAAAAATTGATAAATGAAGTAGAGAGGACTTCGGGTTTCCCTACAATAAATATGCAAAGAAGTTGGCCATTGAGGTTTCCAACCTAACAATCAGAAGAAAGCTAAAAAACTGAAAAGCAGCAACTCTTCGTACAGCCATCATCATGTTGTTGAATGCTGAGCAAACGAAAACTTGAAACTGTTACGAGGCTTATGTAGAAGCGTCCCCAAAAATTTCATTGTTTTTACTTCCAAGGACCCCTTTGGCTTTCAAGATTAAAGTCAAGGATGGAGAAAACTCCCTGTGGCTTTTGGGGACCAACCATGACCATACCCTTCCAGCCTCTAAAAGTGCCCTGCCCTCAGGGAAACGACTCTAACATGTCCTTCCCTAACTGGGGGTGGGGCAGGCAACTAGGCAAATCCAGATCCTGATAGTCCCCCAGCTCAAGCTTAAGAAATTCTTTTGAAGAATTATAGGGTTCTTTTGAAGAAGATAGGATTGTACTAAAGCCTAGAGACTCTGATTCAACAAGAACAAAAAAAGAAAGCTAATCATGAGATTATAGAATCTTTATCCTACCTGATACCTCACCAACACATCAACAGGACTCCCATAGGAGAATACAACTGAGAGAATCATGACATACGTAAGGAGTTTCCAGGGAAGTGCAGACAATTCAGCAGACAAAACAAGGTCATTATATGAAATTTAGACTTCTGACACCTATAGTTATAGGAAACAGAAAACACAACCAAACTTCTAGCCTATATATTTCATTTTCAATGACCCAATACATATGCCCACCTATCAATGAAAAAAATTACAACTCATGATAAAAAACAAAATGAAATCTAACAAAAAAAGCAAAAACTAAACACTAAAACAAAACACAGACAGCTTCACAAACCAAAGCAAACAGTAGAACCAGGTGTGGATATTAAGATTTTAAAGAACTTAAAAGAACTTAAAGTTCTTAATTTTAAGAACATTAAAGAATTTAATGGCTCTAATGGAAATGTTGAAGAGATAATTTAATAATGATGATAACAACCATAATAATAAAGAATAGTAAGAATAGCAAAGAATTTTCCAAAATCAATTAGAGATAGCAAACTATAGACCCAGGAGGATTAGAAAAACATTAAACAGTAAAAAGTTAGCCAAAAAACAGGAATTAAAACACACTTTTCAATACTACCTCTAAATATACTGATGGTTTCAATTTCCCCATTCAAAAGACACAAACAGGCAGACTGGGTTAAAAACAGGATCTACTTTTGCTGCCTCCAAGAAACACTTCACCATCAATGACAGACAATACTTGGGGCAAAAGGGTAAAGTGATTCCAAATAAATGGAACTTAAAAGAAGCAGGTATCACTACTCTAATAACAAAATATAGACTCCAACTTGAAACCAGTCAGAAAAGATAATGGTATCTACTTAATACTGATTAAGAAAACAATCTAAGCCGGGCATGGTGGCAGAGGCAGGCAGATCTCTGTGAGTTCAAGGCCAGCCTTGTCTACATAGCAAGCCCCAGCTGTCTATAGGGAGACCCTGTCTCAAAAAGACCAAAAAAAAAAAGAAAGAAAATAATCTGAGCCAGGTATGCTGGCTCGAATCTGAGGGAGAGGTGGGCAGATCTCTGTGAGACCGAGGCCAGCCTGGTCTACATAGCGAATGCCAAGACTGCTGGGGGCTACAGGGGGACCTTGTCTCAAAAAGACTAAAAAATTAATACTCTATGAAAAGGATATTACAACTTTTTAAAAAATATTTTATTATTTTTATTTGATGTGTATGAGTGTACTGCCTGCATGTGAGTGCACCCGTGTCATGCAGTGCTGCGGGTCAGAAGAGAGCTTTGGATTCCCCTGGAATTGGAGTTAAGGATGGTTTGCAGCCACCATGTGGGTGCTGGGAATCGAACCTGAGTCCTCTGCAAGAGCAGTCAGTGCTCTTAACCACTGAGCCATCTCTCCAGCCCCAGGACATTACAATTTTAAACATACACAGAACACAGGTGCACTCAACTGGTATTTCACAAAACAATAATATTAATGGATGTGAAATCACAGATTAACCCAAACAGAGGTAACAGTAGGTGAATTCAATATTCCCACTCTCACCAAGACAGGTTGTCCAAACCACAAATAAAAGTCCATGGAGAAACATGGGAGTTAAATGACATCATAGTTAAAATAGACCCAAGCAACATGGACAGAACATTCCATGTAAACAACATTGTACTGGTTAGCTGTAACTGTCAACTTGATATAACCTAGATTCACCTGGGAAGGGAATCTTAATGAGGAATTATCTAGATCAAGGTGGCCTTACGGGCATGGTGGGGGAGGCAGTCCCTATCCCTAGTCAGGAGCTCCTGAACAGTATAAGAGAGGAAAAGGCTAGCTGAGAGCAAAGCAAGCAAGGATTCATGTGTTTCTTCTGTCCGCTCTTGACTGTGTATCTGATGCTTTTAAAGGACTATAAGCAAATAAACTCTTTCCTATGTTGCTTCTTCTCAGAGTATTTGTCACAGTAGCAGAAATGAAGTGAAACTAGGGGCTAGAGAGATGGCTCAGCAGTTAAGAGCTCTCTCTGGCTGCTCTTGCAGAAGATGCAAATTTGAACCCAGCACCCACATGGCAGCTAACAACTGCCATAACTCCAGTTCCAAGGGATCTGACACCCTCTTCTGTCCTCTGCAGGCACTGCACAACACAGGTAAGCTTTCACACATACAGGTAATACACGCATACACATAAAATAAAAATTAAAAAATTTTCTTTTTGTCTTTTTGAGACAGGGTCTCCCTGTAGCCCCAGCTGGCCTGGAACTCACTATGTAGACCAGGCTGGCCTCGAACTCACAAAGATCCATCTGCCTCTGCCTCCTAAGTGCTCGGATTAAAGGTATGCGCCACCATGCCTGGCCTAAAAATAAAATATTTTTTAAAACAGAAATGAAACTGAAACAACAGCAGAATATAATCTTCTCAGCAGCCTGTGGAACTTTCACTGAACAGGTTATATAGTAGGACAAAAAGCAAGTTTTAATAAATTTCAAGAAACTGAAATTAACAAAATACTATGAAACACCAGGTGTGATGATATACACCTTTAATTCCAACAGAGGCAGTGGCAGGAGGATCTCTTTGAGTTCAAGGCCAACCTGTTCTACTTAGTAAGTTCCAGACCAGTTCAGGCTGCAGGAAGACCCTGTCCCAAAAAAACAAAAACCAAAAAGAAAAAAAAAAAAAATAATAACCACACTATTAAATGACAAAAGGGTGGACTAGCTGCTCCCTAAGCCATCTTTGCCAGTCAGGCTCCCTTCTCACCAGACTCCTGGAACTCTCATTTTCTATTTCACCCACAGCACTGATCACTGGCGTGCCCCACTATGTCAGAGGCGCAGTGGACACCAGTGGATCACCACCAAAAACTTGAAGAAGAAGGAAGTGTAGAAGAGACAAGATGGAAGAGAAGCACCTGCCAATTAGAATGCTAATGAGGAAAATGGGGACAGGAAAGCAAGCTGACAATAAGGTAGATGAAGAAGGTGATAGTGAGGAAGGATGAAGGGCAAGATGAGGAGATGGAGGAAGCTATGGGGAAGTGGGCAGCTGAAGATGATGAAGGTCTTATACCAAGAGGCAGAAGACCAATGAGAATGACTAGTTGGCAAAAAAAGGAAAAGGTGAACTTAAAAAGGCTACCAAGACCTATTTGCCCTCCACTTCTCATGGGTCACATTCCAGTAGAGAGGCAGGCCCACCCAATCAAGCTTGCCCACAGATGACATGCACTCTCTACTATCCCACCAAAACCACAATGTGAACTTGCAACGGGGAGAAAAAAAGAACCAAAACTTCCAAGGTCCTACTTTTTTCTTAACAGTACTTAGAAAGAAGATTTATTTGTATTTCTTCTTTACATTTTGTATTTGTACCTATTGTTAGTGGTCAGCCATTTTTAATAATGGGTGATCAACCAGCCTTCAGTCCCTTCTCTGTCCTACTTCTGACTTTACTTGTGGTGTGACAATGTTTATTATCTCAAAGGAGGAAGAAGAAAAACCTTGTAAAAAAAAAAAAAAAAAAAAAAAAGCAAACACAAAAACAAAGCAACAACAACAAAAAAAAACTTATTCTGCATTCCAGTAACATTTTTTGTGTATGAACTTAGCTGTACTATAAGTAGCTGATTTGGATGAGATAATTAAAAAGGTCAAAGACAATAAGGTTTCTTTGTTTCCTTTTTTTTCTATGAAGTTGTTGTTTGTTTATTTATTTTGGCCTGTTTACCTATGTATGAAACAATGTCCAACAAAAAAACAGAATGTTATTTTGCTGAGTTGTTCTAACAAAACAAAAGGAACAAAAAAAATGACAAATAACTGGCAGACAGAAATATTTAAGACCATCACTGCAGCAAGTAATAAAATGAAAATTTTTTAATTAAAAAAAAAAAAAACACAAATAATCAGTAAAACACAGTTGGTTCTCTGAAAAGATAAACAAGATTAACCAACCCTTAGCTAAACTAAATAGAGCATACAGCCAGATTACTAAGATTAGAGATGAAAAGAGAGCCTTTACAACAGATACCAAGAAATTCAAAAAGTCACTAGGACATACCTCGGAAACTTATATTCTACTAAAGTAGAAAATCTAAAAGAAGTACATGCATTTCTAGATGC